GGGCAGAGCATTTCTGCATGCCAGGGGCAACGCGCCCTGGAGCTCTGGCTGGGACGGGGAGGGCATGGTGCTCACCCCGTTACTCCATCAGGCACTGGCCATGGCGGGAGGGCTCGTTTGTCAGCAGCGTTTTCTCAGCTTCTTTTTGGTTTCTGGGACTGTGGTTCACCTAAACACTTTCTCTCCTTATTTTCTGCTCTTCTCCAGTGACGCAGCCTTTGTGAAGAGAAACTTTGAGCCAATGTTGACTGTGGAGCTGTGTGGGACAGCAGGTAGGACAGGCTTTTAATTTTTTAATTTTGCAAAAATCCTCCCTGGGAGGGGACAAATTTACTCTAAATTCAGCCTGGAGTCACCAGCTGCAGCCAAGCCCAGGGAAGGGTAGTTCATCCCCTGGCCCAGGACCCCTGCTTTACACCACATCACAGGAGACTTCGCATGCACTACCTCCACATCAGAGCACTGCGAGCAGCTCAGGGGGATGCATTTGGGGTGAGGGGGTTGTTCAGGGGGCCCCTGCAATGAGTCAGGAGGGAAGGGAGAGTCCTCTGGTCCCTGCTGGGATCAGGTATCCTTCTTCTCCAAGTGCTGCTGGATGCACGAGGCTGCGGGGACCGAGTGGCCACCGCCCTTGGAATGTCTGGTGCAGCCCAGGCACTGGGGTGGGACGGGGCAGGACGGCGGGGGCAGAGCTGACTCCTGCCCTTTGTTCGGGGGGGGGTTCAGGTCTCACGCCGCCCACCACTCCACCCCCCCCCCCCCCCCCCCACCGTATAAGCCCGCCGAAGAGGACCTGTATAAGCCAGACATCCCCCAGGAGCCAGGGAAGGAGGACGGGACAGCCCCCAGTCCTGGGGGAGCAGGGGACACAGCAGCCTCCCAGAAAGCCCCCAGGAAGCACCCTGAGAGGACAGAGCTCTTCGCCCACCTGAGCCGAGCCGCCGGGCGCCCTGCGCTCCCCGAGCAGCCAGGCATGCTTAAGCGGCCCTTCTCCCGCTCCTTCGGGGACCACGACTACTGCCAGGTGCTGAAGCCCGAGGCCGCCCTGCAGAGGAAGGTGCTCAAGTCGTGGGAACCCCCGGGCCAGGTGGAGATGGAGCACAAGAGGAGGGTCCCGGCTGTCACCTACCAGGCCACGGTGGCAAGGAGGCGGGCGGCGAGATGCTGTGGAAGGATGGCATCAAGCAGCTGAGAGACCAGGAGATCAGAGCCAGCTTAACAAAGCACTTTGGCTTTCTGGACAGTGCTCTCGATGACGAGGACATGGTCTTCTGCAAGACCCCTGAGTATGACACCGTCTTTGAAGATAGCTGCAGCGAGAGCGGCTCCCCCGCGGAGGGGGAGGAGGGGGAGCCGTGGAGGAGGAGGAGGAGGAGGAGGAGGAGGAAGAGGAGGAGGAGGAAGAGCACAGCGACACCAAGCTGTGCCTGCGGAGAAACCCCCTTTCCAGAACCAGTTTGCATTACTGTTCCCGGAGCAGGTCCAGCTCGGGGTCTTCGTGCTGCCGGTCCCGATCACCCGCAATCAGACGCACCTTCAGGTACAGGGGGGCCATGGGGAGGGCACTTGGGACCAGTCTTGCCCCCTGCATTTTTGCCCCGGTGCATGGCAGCCCTGGCTCTTTCTGCTCTGCTGGCCTAAGTAGTAAAGATGCTAACTAATGAAAAAAAAACAACTATTGAAATAATTGGTACTACATCAGCAGCTGCTGCAAACAGCTGTGGCCAGAGAAAGCACCAGGGTGAAGCAGCCAGGGGTTTCCATGGTGCTGGGAGTGATGGGGCATGGGCAGGGGCTGGAGCTGTGCCTGGGAAGGGGCGAGCGCTGGCTGGGATCCACCCCCGGCATCTATCAGAAAGGGCTTTCCAGTGTCCTTTCCAGTGTTTCCAGACCCCCATCCCTTCTTGGCTGCCGGTGCTCCCGAGTGCCTGCCCACCCACTGCTGCATATGCCGCGTGCCTCAGTTTCTCTTTGGTGTTTGAAGCTTTCCACGCCGGATCCCCTTCACCCCCCTGGACTGACCTCCTCTCCCTCGCTTCCCAGGTGTGAGAACGGCGAGCAGTGTCAGGGCGGGAGCAGGCACCGGGGCCAGCTGGAGAAGAGACGGGAAAAGGCCATCGTAAGTGAGCGGGGACCCTGCGCTGGGATAAAGCAATCCCCAGCCCTCAGTTCATCTCCCACTCCACAAAAGCAGCCGCGAAGCCCATTAGCCCTGGCTGCAGCATCCTTTGGTGCGAGGCCAGTGTTAAACAAGGACATGGGGTTAGAGGGGGGAGAGAAAAACCCAAAGTGAAGCGGAAGCTGCTGGCGATTGGCAATACACGGAGTCCTTGGCACAGAAATGCCCAGAGCATCCTATGCCGGTGCTTCAGAGCAGTTGGCATGGGCAATTAACGGGGTGAGCTGGGGAATCCCTGAAGCTGCTCAGCCGTTACAGATGCAGTCCTGCTACAGAGGCAGCCTCGTGCGCTGGGAAGCCGGCGTGTGCCCATGGGAAGGAGCTGGGTGGAGGGTGGGTGTGCAGGGTAATAACTCGGTCCTCCATACTGTTGTGCGCACACACACACACACACACACGCTCACACATGTCCCTCTGGCATTTTTTCCTGCAACACAATTGAATTTTGCCCCTTGAAATTCTTGAGAATATTTCCCGGCATTTTAAGCAGGAGAAGCTGAAAAAGCTGCAAGAATGCAGGAGAAATTTAAGAGAAGAAGGGGGCGGTGGCTGCTTCAGCTTGGATATGGCTGTCCCCTGCAGCAGTGGTGTGCTGAGGGTGACACCCGTGAGTCAGCTGGAGCAGAGACAGCCAGACCCTGGAGATGTCAGGCTGTGCCCGTGGCAGTATCGCCCCGCTGCAGGCTGATTCCTGGTGCTGGCTTGCAGGGGCTCCTCGATGGCCCCACATTTCCAGTGCCCGTTGGCAGAGCAGAGGTGCAGGGTCCCGGAGCCTAAAACCTGTCACTTGCTTTGCCAGGGGGAAGGCCGGGTGGTATATATTGGAAACCTCTCCAGCAGCATGAGCTCCAGCGAACTGAAGAAACGCTTCGAAGTGTTTGGTGAAATCGTGGAATGTCAAGTCCTGTCCAGGACTAACAGGTGGGTCGGGAGCGAGCTGCTTTCCAAGGCTCCAGCGGCTACACGAAACCCCCCCCCCCCAGT